CTATTTTGCCTTAGATTGGTTTTGATGCCAGCAGAGTGAGAAAATGCCAGAGGCTCTGGGTGGGTGCCCCATGGTAAATGCACCAAACAATTCCTAAAGATTTTCCAAAACACTACTCTGTCGATACATTGCAACACTTTGAATTAGCACCAGAGCTTTAAGAGCTCTCCAGCTGTCACCTGGAGACTGTCAACAGCTTGTTTGGAGGGTGGGGAGTATGGCATTGTATCTGTCTGAGGCCCCCCTCTTCCTTCTCCTCCGCAGACCCCACCCACAGCAGGCTGCATTCCTAAAGTATCCTGGAAGTTTCCAACCTATAGTTGGGAACCCTATGTCCTTTCCAGGCAACCCTCAGCCTACCTTTATTTCTAAAGATTTTCCAAAACAGTACTCTGTTGATACATTGCAACACTGAATTAGCACCAGAGCTGTAAGTGCTCTCCAGCTTTTACCTGGAGGCTGGCAACAGCTTGTTTGGAGGGTGGGGAGTATGGCATTGTATCTGTCTTAGGTCCCCCTCTTCCTCCTCCTCCTCAGACCCCACCCACAGCAGGCTGCATCCCTAAAATATCCTGGAAGTTTCCAACCTGGAGTTGGGAACCCTATGTCCTTTCCAGGCAACCATCAGCCAACCTTTATCTGCCTGTCTGTCTTAAGTTTTACATCCCCCCCCCCCCGCCTCTGCCTAGGGAAAGGGCAGTCTTTCCCTGCAGTGGGAACCAAAGCAGCTGACATCATTCTCCTCTCCCCCGTATGATCCGCACAACTACCCTATGAGGTATGTTAAGGCTGAAAGTGTGTGTGTGGTCCATAATCCCCCAGGCAGCTTTTAAAACATGAACCTGGGACCTGCACACCATCCTCTGATGGTATAGGAGTTAGTAGGTATTATGATGTAAGATCTCACTGCTATTTTTTTGGCTTGACTGTGTTATGATACAAAATCTAAATTCAATTCATGTATTTGTTGTTGACTAAGTTTGTTTTAATATGTTTGTCTATTATGCTTAAAAACCTAATAAATATATTATTAAAAAAAGAGGCAGTGCACACAAGACAGGCTGTAAATCCACAATACATGGATTAAAACCAATGCACACTTGACCTCCTTGCTCCAGAATTCGCTTCCGCTTCCCTCAAGTCTTTTTCAGGTGACGTCTTTGTCTTTTCCTCTCGTTTGAGGAGCAAAACCCACAACCATCCTTCGTTCCCATCTATTTTGGCAACACTTGTTGGCTTTGCCATGACGAGAACAAAACTGAGAACTGAGCTTTTCGGGATGCTGGGGAGAGAGTCTGTGAAGAAAGTGCTTTTGCTTCACTACAAGCTGTAGTATATTTTATTTAAACACACACACATAGTGTGTTCAGAGCTGTTCACTGAGAGTCCCTTCGGCATCCAGTGTATGTTTTCTATTGCCCTCTCCCTGGCTCCCTTTTCGGAACACTCTTCCCGCACTTTAAAAAAAAATACGCCCAGAAAGTGAGAGGGGCGCCGCTAGGCGAGAAGAAACAGAGAGCGACTCTCTGGTTGCAGGAAAGGGGGCGGAGAAAGAGACAAGCTTCGCTCGTGCGCTCTGACGGCTGCAGCGGCTAAGTCGCTTTGAGGCGCATGCGTCCTTTCTTCCACGGACCGGGCGATCCCATCATACCCGTCATTTCCTGCAAGAGCAGTAGAGCGGCACTCACGGGAAGGCTCTAGAGCGGCAGGCAGGAGCAAGGCCGAGGACGATGATGTCGGAGAAGAAGCAGCCCGTAGATTTGGGGCTTCTGGAAGAGGACGACGAGTTCGAGGAGTTTCCTTGCGAAGGTAGCTGCGTGGAACACAGACCGGGGGTGGGGAGGAAGGGGAGTTATATGCTGGGGGGTAGGCCGGCTTGGGGGATTCTGGGTGGGAGGCGGTGTGATTTTAGAGCCTTCACTACAGGCCTCGTCTACAGGCCGCGCACACATGTCAGCCCTTTATTTCTGGGGTCTGTTTTTCTATCATCTCCAGGATGTCTTAAGGTTACTTGTTTATTGTCATTCTTACTCCGTTAAATTTTCATTCCTCCCTTCTTCCAAGGTACTCAGGGTAGTGTGCGCAGTTCTGCATTCCTCCGTTTCATTCTCACAACAACTGTGTGAGGAAGGTTGGTATGAGAGAGGGACTGGCTGGCCCAGGATCACCTAGCAAGCCTCATTATTCATTGGGATTTGAACCCACCCCTCCCTAGTCTGTCCTTTAACCACTACGTCACATACCCAGAATAAAACTTTGTTGGTCTTAAAGGTGCCACTGGACTCAAACTTTGTCCTGCTGTTACAGACCAACATGGCTACCCACCTGAAAACATCACACTGGTTCATAAACACTGTGTCCCTTGCTTAGAAGATGGTGAAGTCCTGGGGAGTTTCTTGGAGACTTAAAATGGGTTTTGCTGGATCAGGCCAGTGGGCTACCATTTTATTTCAGGCCAGCCAATTACCCTAAAGGGCTTCAAAAACAAAGGCCCTATGAGCAAACCCTATGTAGGCTTGAAACTGAATACATGTCAGTTAGTATTTGTGCTGTTAAGGTTGGGGTGGAATGCATAAATACAGATTACCCTGGTGTGATAATTTGGGCAGAAAAGGGTAAAGAAGATGCCAGTGGTTTGCTGCTTTATAGTTTAGTATGTATATTTGACAGGGGACAGGTCTTTCAGCTATTTTTAATATCAGTGCAAAAACTGGAGTGTAAGGAATGCATAAAAACTTCCAGTAGCTCTTAAATAATATTGCATTAAGAGGTGGCCCTATTGATTGTAATAATAGTTGTTTCCAAAAAATTGCTGCACAGGTCACAAAGTTCAATAGACCTTAATGCTTTAGTCCAGGGTTACAGCACAAATATCTCAAGAAAAAAAGGCCCTCAATGTTTGAGTGACCTAGAACAAATTTTGTGGATACTGAAATGTATTATTCTACTACTCCAGTAGATTTGTTGCAAACATACACTCACTTTATACTGTGAATCTTTTTAAAAACAAACTATTTCTTTTCATAAGTGAAACAGTAGCATACACAAGAAAAAGTGTGATTTCTCCAGGAAACACTATTTTATCTTTCACTGATGTTTCAATGTTTGTATCTCATAGTCTTAATTCAAAATCTTGGAGGTATAATAGACTTTGGGGGGAAAACCCTAATATTTATTAGTATTTTGTTTTAAAACTATTTCATAACCTTATGTTTGCTATTTGTGTTCAAGTTTCTTTGTGCTTTAAGTAAAACTTGAGTGCAAGGCACATTCCACTGAAGTCAGCAACACCCACACTTGTTTTAGTGGATCTGGATTGCATTCACTGGATATGGGCTGCCCAGTTTTTTAAACATAACATTCGCAAGCTGATGTTTACGATCTGTTTCAGGATTCCTGCAAATCAAGTCTTGTTCGTTTTATTACTTCTGGGATTTGTGAACTTTTAATATAGCTACTTTAAATACAATCTTAAAACAATTAATTTTGACTTGTTAGTCATTTCCTTATTGCAGAAACTTAAAAAATACTTTTACGTATCTGGCAAGTTCTGTTTTTTTAGTGGTAAGTCAATATGAAATCATACTGATATAGAAGAGAAACACAATCGGCACTGTGCATTTCATAAGTGAATTTGCGCTGCCATTCAAACTTAACCATCTGAACTAAAGTTGTTCTTTTTTTGTGAAGCATAATATTGTGCTACAGCATTGTAATAATTTTTTTTAAAAAAATACTGTGTTTATCACAGAGTCTTCATGAAATTTTTAAATATGTTACTTTGCTGTTTTAGAGCAACAGACGAACTATGTTGTGGTTACAAAGTGTCAGTCTTAGCAAATTTTCTTACAATCATACTTTTTGTCATTTTGTGTTATGTTGAATTCACAAAAATATTTTTATATTTCTAAATCCCTAATAATGTTATCAAATCTTTAATTTTATGATGACATAATACAGTTAAACAATAGTTTTATACTGTATACATATCAGTTTACAACAAACATCCTTTGGCTATATTAACAGCATAATTTCTTTCTTACTGCTGTTGTGAAATGTCTTTGTTTTGACTATAATGAAACATGGTCAGTTAAGTAAACAGACCCAGTTGAATTAATACTAATTTATAATATATATTTATATTGGACTTTCCTCCAAATATAGCCATAGCAGTTTGAAACAAGAAAACCTTACAGTATCCATAAAAAAGTAAAAAAATAAAACCAAAAAATATCTCCAGTAATACATGTCAGATAAGTGTCTCAGACATCATGAACAACTTTAAGAAAACTACTACTAGATGGTAATAATAAAATGCTAAGTTTTACACACAACTCTACATTCAAAGCAAATGTACATTAAAGAAATTATTGCAAGTGGCCATGTTAGGTCCCTTTCATATGGGCCCTTTGGCTTCTGAAGGCAAACAGATTTTGTTAAAGTTTTCATACAGCCTACATGTAACAAAACTGGCCTCTCACAGTTAATGAAACCTTAATCTGGGGTTTCAAATGTTTTTCTCCAATGGGTTTTTGTTGTATTTTATCTTTAAGGTGTGTGAAACCTCAACAACAAAAAAGTCTGTTTGCCTTCAGAAGCCAAAACAGGTTAAAGCCCATATGAAAGGAACCTTAGTCTGCTGCAGCAAAAATAATAAATAGTTTTGGGGGCACCTTTAAACTGTGCAGATTGAATGTAACAACTCTTAATGTGTCTGAAATAGACTGGCTCACAAAATCTTATGCCACAATTGATATGTTAGTTTTTATGGTATTGCATTTAGAGTTTTGAGGAAGAAAAGCTTTTTCCCTTGTCAAGAGTTATTCTACCATTCCTCTCAGTTTCTTTGGTAAATCCCAACACAACTAAATGTATTTTTGGTCTTTGCATTTCAAAATTAATTTAGAGCTCTGCGGGAAGTGAGTATATCTTCCACTCCAAGTGTGAACATATTTATTTATAAAAGGGTCCAATTTAATCAATGGAATTCTTTTCGTTAAAGTACACTTGAAGTAAAGATACTGGTCATCTGCATAGATTCAGTAACTAGCAGAAGGGAATGCTATGAGAATAAGAAGAGTGGGTGACTTGTGCTACTCAGGATGAAAGTTTCAATTGTGCAGTGTTTGGTGTTTCTACCGTGTTTAGTGTTACAACAAACGTTGTTTTATTAGAACATAAGTGTATTGTGATCAGAAATGAATTAATACATTGCAGGTAGGGCATCATGTTACCACTGTCTTTGCTGTGTGTGTTAATGTAATAATAGTAACAGTTGCAAGGAACTTGGTAAACAGCCCAGTAAAACCATAAGTTTGGATTTGGAGGCATTTACTTTTCAGTGGCTATGCAGGAGATCCCATTGAACTTGTAGGTTTCAGTATAAAATTTCTAGGCTCTCAGGTGCCTGGGACTTTCTCCAACATTAGCTATGATCTGTATTAGCTGTGAGTTTATTTAAAACAAGGGACGTTTCATAAGATCAGTGTGCCGGTCCCCCAGCCAGGAGGTCCACACTCTAAATGACTAAAACTTTAGGGTGAAAGAAGAGAGTGGGCCACTGCAGATGTGACACTGGCTCCCTGATAACCATGCAGGGAGTACACCAGTGGTGGCAAACCTATGGCACGGGTGCCAGAGGTGGCACTCAGAGCCCTCTCTGTGGGCACGCGTGCCATCGCCCCAGCCTGGCCCAGACCATTATTAAAGTGTCGAATTCTCTGCCAAATAATCTTAAGTAAATGAAAGCATTTGGGATTGCTTTCCTTACTTTGTTTGGATCATCTTAAGTTAATGTATGAGTTGTTTTTTCTAAAACCTCAGTATTCAGGTTAAATTGCCGTGTTGGCACTTTGCCATAAATAAGTGCGTTTTGGGTCGCAGTTTGGGCACTCGGTCTCTAAAAGGTTCGCCATCACTGGAGTACACCATCCCTGCAGCAAATTTACCCCATTTATCCATGGTTAAGGAGTCTGTTAACATTGAAGTTTTAGGGAAAGCCAAGGTTTCGCCTTGTCAGCCAGAATCTAAAGGGCTACCTTGTTAGCCTTAATAACCATTAACAAACTAGCCACAATGGTTAGACTGGGGTTGGAGAATTAATGCGTATTCTGAGGAGGAGAGCAACTTAGAACGAACTGCGATCGTCTAAGACTGGCTCTAGACTGCTGTGGTGAAAGGGGTGGGGTCTCTATTATATCTGCACTGGCCCTGTGAATGTTGGGGAATATAGGGGAAACCTACATTCAAATTACAACATTCTCTCAGCTCTCCTATCTCACAGCATTGTTGGATGTTACTGAACTAAATTCCCTGAAGGCTGGGAAGGATGCACTCTGTAGTAAACTAAAATGTATAAGCCCTGAAATATTTCCATGTTGTGCCTTTGAAAAACATTCGTAGAAGCAGGAACTTGCAGTATCTTGACTAGTATGAAAACAGCAGCAATAGTGTGATACTTTTTATTAAAACCAACAAAACCATCACAAGGCAAGAGGAGCAAGCTCTTAAAGTTGCCAAAAACTCTTGTTGAGGCTGGATGTTCAGTACAAAAGGGGGGAGGGGGTAATTCAAGGCCTTATAAAAATGCCCCAAAGTTTGAACCAGTCTTAAAAATGGAGTGTAAGAGGTAAGAGAGCCAGTTTGGTGTAGTGGTTAAGTGCACGGACTCTAATCTGGGAGAACCGGGTTTGATTCCCCACTCCTCCACTTGCAACTGCTGGATGACCTTGGGCAAGCCATAGTTCTGACAAGAGCTGTCCTTGAAAGGGCAGTAATTGAAAGCTCTCAGCTCCACCTACCTCAGAGGGTGTCTGTTGTGGGGAGGGGAAGGGAAAGGAGTTTGTAAGCTGCTCTGAGACTTCTTTGTGTAATGAAGGGCGGAGTATAAATCTAATCTCTTCTTCTTCTATATTAGATAGTATTTTGCACCCAGCCGCCCTGAGCCCGTTCGCGGGATGGGCGGGATATAAATATAATAAATAAATAAATAAAATAATTCAGTCTGCAGCACCTTCTGTGTTCTATTTTAATATTGCTATGAACTTCACACATTGGGAACTTCACTCTATATGCCCCAAAACATCTTTCCCTCCTGTTTTAGCATGTTTGTTCTCACTGAATAACTGGCATGAAGAATAGTTCTGACTTCTGAGGAACTTAACAAATTTATTCTCTAGTTTGTCCTGGTTGGTTGGTCCTAATAAAAGGCATTGCACATGGCTGCTGTAGGATTTTTAGCAACCTACAGTTTTTGTCATAGTACAGTGTATTTGACTCAAGCAGCACTCTTCTGGTCTCTTTTAACATAAGAAGTGTGACACAAAAGTGTTTTTAAAAACTTGGTTTTAATTCTATAATTACAGATCGGACGCAGTCAAAATACTGAGTGGCAGAACACATCTGTTGTCGTTTTTGATCTTTTAGGGGAAGGGCTATGGCTCAGCGGTAGAACCTGTGTTTTGCATGCAGAAGGTCCCAGGTTTGATCCCTGGCATCTCCAGTTAAAAGGGCCAGGCAGTAAGGGATGTGAAAGACCTCTGCCTGAGACCCTGGAGAGCCATTGCCAGTCTGAGTACAGAACACTTGACCTTGATGGGCCAATGGTCTGAATTCAGTATTAGGCAGCTTCGTGTGTGTGTGTGTGTGTGTGTGCGTGTGTGTGTGTGGATTGGAAAAGGTGTCCAACATTGTACTGTTTGCTTGTTGCCAGTCCTTTTGCATGTCGAACCTCACATATTGTACTTTTATATCAGAGCCTCTAAAGAGAAAGTATACATTTTGTCACAGTCACATAGTTAATTGTTTGAGTCTCCTTTTTGCAGTCATACATTAGACTTTTTGTAACTTCACATGTAAGCTTTAAAATTGCTTGGTGTTATTGCAAAGGGATCTGCAGAGCTAGAAGGACAAAATAGAGACTCTCAGCTCTTCGCTAGCCATCCAGAACTCAAATCCATTTACTTTCTGTATTTGGAGTCCACCTGGTTTTTAACTTCCTGTGCTACTCTCAGCTCTTTGGGCAGACAGCATCAGGTTTGCTGCGCTCTCATCTGTTTGCCTAATTTCTTCACTGCATCTTGATGTCTGCTGTGGCTCATACCAGTTCACCTTGCTTGTTCTTTGCACCTTGAACACAGATCTTCAGCCTTGCACATCTGGGATACCTGTGGCCACACATTATCAGCCAAACCTTTTTAAGGGGGTCAGTCTCTGAAGTGCTTTTACCATTTGACTCTAGACATGCCTTCGCAAACCATGGTGCTTGGTTTGAGTCCAAACTTGACTGTTAAAATACCTATACTGATAATGAAAAAAGTTATCCTTCAACAAAAATATGTTGAAATGCTGTGGGGGGAAATGCAGCACTACACATCTTAATCTGGAAACACTTGTGTCTCTTTGTCTTTTTAACTCCATCATTTACTGTTGCAGTGTTGTGGTTCCTTAAGGAAGCTTTGCATTAAAATAATACCCTGCTGCAAATTTGATTCTTAAATTTAAAAGGAATGAGGCCTCTGTTATTTCTGAAATGTTTTACTGATTTTCAACAGTATGGAGTATAAAATGAACTTGTTCTGCATCTTGTTTTCAGACTGGGCTGGTTTAGATGAAGATGAAGATGCACATGTGTGGGAGGACAACTGGGATGATGACAATGTCGAAGATGATTTCTCCAATCAGTTAAGGTAACTTGAAAATATTCAGTACATGCAAACAAGTAAAACAAAAATGGTGCAGGCTAGAATCCCTAAATCAAGAACCAGATCTGACACGGCTCCACGCTCAGCATAGGATGGGGTCTTATTACAGAAGACATAAGTGGTAAATGTGTCTGTTTGTGTCTCCACACTGATGTTTAACCATGCTGTGCATATGATAGCGATATACACTAATGTGGAGTACACTTGAGGCACCAGCATTTCTCAATGGGTTAAACTGGCCATCTCTAGTTGAATTTGAAGTATATCTTGTAGTCTGAAAAGCTGTTTTGGGTTAGGTTCACCTCAACAGCTAGAATTTCAGAAAAATTGCAGGTAAATCAGGAGGAGGATATGGTACTTAAAGACTGAGCCATATTCAGTTACTTCATGTGGCAAAGCAGTTCACCTTTTGTGTCTCCATGTACAGATTAAGGCTCACAAGTGCTCTATCACTGCACATGCTTATTCCTGTTCTTTTGGCAGTGTGCTTGGAAATGTCTAATGTTTCCTTCTTGCCTTGAAATGTGAGTAGCTCTTCAAAGTGAAGAAGACAGAGCCCCAATGTGCAGTTAATGTAGAACTTCGTTCTTAGATCTGTGCTGTCTGTCCTGGAAATAGAGTCCAAGGAAAAATTGGAACATAGTATAAATTCCTATTGAAACTTGTCTTATGCAGCGATATCCTTTGTTTAAAATATTTTAAGACTGAGGGACGAATAATTACAACACACTTTAAGAGATTATGTCCATACTGTGTTTAAATGAAGTCAGACATCCAGTATTTTGCATGGTGGTTTAATACATGTTGGGGGGTGGTTTGTCTTTACAGAGCGGAATTAGAAAAACACTGCTATAAGATGGAAACGGCATAGCTTCCTCTGATAAGGTCATTTGAGATTGGACTGTAAACTGAACACAGAGGTGTGTGGATTGGAATGCAAAATGGAAGATCAGACACTGGACTGACTATTGTTACCCTAATTTTGTTTTGTATAAATAAAAAATTGAATCCACGTGTTGTATTATCTGGATGCTGTTTAAATTCCCCTGTGAATTGCTAATGTGGCCCAAATTAAGTTATTAGCCATGCTAAGGTGTACACGGGTTTGCTTTAACATTGATGTCCTTAGTATTACTGACGGTAACTTCAACGTAAGTACCTTTTGTTGTTTCCTCACTTTGTAACTAAACTAGGAGAAAACTTGGCAATGCTTACTCTTCAGCACTACTTAAGAAGTCTTAAAACGAATTACAACAATGAGCTCAATACTTCAGAAAAAGAGACTCATTTTAGAGGCCACCCACAAAAGAGTGGTTGGTAGTGGCAGCTTTGTAGTCCAGTTTAGGGATGGGCACAAACTGAATTACAAACCAAAATTCATTGGCCCGGTTCATGGTTTGTGAGCCTTGGTTCATGCGATTGAGTCTCCCAAAAACCAAAACATTTTTCATGGAGGTTCGTAGGAGTGGTTTCTGGGCCAGACATGCTCGTGCCAGTGAATCAATTGTCCAAGCAATGGAAGGGGATGGACTTCTGTGATCCTTCTGCAGCCCTGGAAACACCAACAGTGGCCCTCCAAAGCTTAATAGGCAACACTGGCTGCCAGCCAAAGAGCTCCCATTCTGCTCTAAGCCTCTAGCTTGCAGCGGATCCATTTGACACACTCCTGAACCTGTGGCTGCTGTGATTTCCCCAGAGAGCACTTTCCTGGGGGCATCTGCTTTGGGTGTGTGTGACAGCCCCTCTAAATCCAATCCTCACCAAACTTGGAGGGCAGGTAGAGGAGAATCAGCTGGAGACTTGCTGCAAGTTTGGCATCTCTAGCCCTCGGGGGGCTGTTCTACCGCATCATGAACCACAAAGTGGTCTGTTAAATGGGGGGGTTCGTTGTTTGTGAGACCCCACAAACCTCCATTTTCTTGGTTCGTGCCCATCCCTAGTCCAGCTTCCATGTTTCAATTCGTTTACAGCTGAGAGATTTGCCTGTTTTAGACCTGTCAACATCATAACAGTTGAAGCCATGCTGCCAAACTGCCCAGTATTGATTTTTGTACTAGCTACCCTGGAAATGGAGTGTCAGATTGCAGCGTTGATGTTGAATGAATATACTCCCCAGTGTTTGTTTTTCCACGAGTGTCATGAGTAGCAAAAACATCTTGCTTTGTTTTACAGGTCAGGGAGACTTCAGAGCACAGCAAAGAAATACATGGGAGTAACCTAATATTAGTACTAGAAACACTTTCTTTAACCTTGTTTAGCTAAATAACCTTGACTGTTCTCTAGCATAATAGGGTAAATGTAATAATGGTATGTTGCCGGCTTCTAGGGAGACACTTGAGTGGCTTTGCTGAGTCAGCCACACTGGTGACATGTCCCAGCTAGGGTTATGTGCAGGACATCATGACTCCTGTGCCCTGAGCCCGAAAAGGAAATGTCTGCTGCAGTTAGACAGTTAAACTTTAAATTGTTATACAGTTTTGCGTAGTCTGGGGGTAAGAAAGCAAATGGCAACATGAATAGGGTAGCTGTGTTGGTCTGCAGTAGAACAACTAGATACCAGAACATGAAATTGAGCAAACTTCAGAGGACAACTAGATACCAGAACATGACATTGAGCAAACTTCAGAGGACGGCGGAAGACAGGAAGGCCTGGAGGGATCTGGTCCATGGGCTCGCGAAGAGTCGGACTCGACTGTGCGACTGAACAACAACAACAAGCACCTTAGAGACCAGCAGGATTTCCAGGGCAGGAGCTTTCAAGAGTCAAAGCTCCCTTTCGTCATGACTAGGTTAGTCATGCAGTTATTACTCAAGCTACATGAGTCACTTAATCATATGGCAACATTTGTCATAATTCTTGTGTTGACTCACTCTATGTAATCCGCCTTGAGTCCAAGTGAGAAAGGTGGACTTGTATATATGTAAAATAATAGAATAAGAATGCACACGTACAGTTTAAAACTTCTCTTCACACAGTGTTTTGGCATTGAGAGTTGCAAAAAGGGAACACAATTTTGGTTTGTGATTATGGACAGTAATAAAAACTCATCTAAACGTTCATAATACCATTAAGAAAAATGTGGGCCGCTTGGATGCAGGTACTGAACTTTGCCTCTAAATCACTAATAGCGCTACGTGACTAGCTCAATATCCTGTTGAGTTAGGTGTTCTCATTTATATTAAGCTGGAAATGTATTGCCTGGGTCTGAAGTAAGGATTTCTTTACAAAATTTCAGATAGATACTTATGCAACTTCACATGTTGCCTCTGCAGGGACCTCCTCAAAACTTGGAACACACCTGTCAAAAGAAGTCTTTCTTTTTAATTAGTCAACAGAAGTTGTCCTCTAAGAAAGATTAAAGCTTTCTTCTATTCAGACATTGACTGTACAAATGGGTCTGGATGATAGCTGGCATAGAAGTTTTAAATGTTTAGTCCAATTTATTTAGAGAATTCTATGCCACCTGTCCTAGGAACCTGCCTGAGGTGGCTTACAAAATATAGTAAAAACATGAACCACCATAAATGACATTAACTGAAATCCGGTCGGCATCAAAGCAAATGGGCTTGGGTGGGGATGTTGCAAAGCTAAACGAGGCCTGCAAACAAAGTCTTTTAAATAGTTATATTTGCTGGGCACAAGAACTCACCCAGACTAGAAACGTGGAAAGACAATTAGGAAATCTAGTCAGAGTGTGAGTTCGGGAATGTTAACCTGTATTTTACAGGACTGTTGAAATAAATTCTGCACATAACAGCTGGAAATCTTTCCTGATCTTCTTCAATAATGGTTCCCAATAAAGCTTGTTTATGTAGGAGTTGTTAAACTATGACACCAATTTAGGAGGGGGGAGTGAAAACACGCCTATGGGTCTCAGTCCAAATCTTTTATGGTTTTGTGTGAAGTTTGCAGAAAATTGGTAATTCGTCCTTTAAAGAAAAGAGCATTCTCCAACATTCTTGTCCTGTTTTCCTTCTGTCCTGCAGCCTCCTGGGCCGCCTGGTTTTCTATCTACAAAGTTCGCTTGTCCCCTAGTGTTGGCTTCTGAGGGACTTTGGGGGGAAGATGGGGAGCAATCAGCATCTTTTAGCACAGGGGTGTCAAACATGCTGCCTGGGGGCCAGATCAGGCCCCCGGAGGGCTTCTATCAAGCCCATAGTGGTACTGGCTGTCTTCTGCTGCTGCTTCCAGTTCTGCTGCTGCTGCTGCGTCATTGTAGGTTTGCAGCTTACAGAAACACACCTGAACAGCATACTCGAGATTGCAATAACACGGACATTTTGATGCAATAATTCAGAGCAAGAGGTATCAAATAAAATATTGCAAGAGTGCTAATGTTTTAAGCATGTTTTTATTTTAAGTAAAAACCCCTTTGTGTCCTTTATAAAGTTTATATCTCCACTACCTGGCATTACATTTTATGATAAACATGGCCTGGCCTAACAAAGTCTCATTTATGTCAGATCCGGCCCTCATAACAAATGAGTTCGACACGGCTGTGTTAGTGTCTTGCAAGTCATAGGCTCATATGTCAGAGGTCTTTACCATCAATGAAGCTAAGGGATGGTTTGAAATGTCAAGAAAGGGTTGTGGGCACCAGCACAAAATGTTTTTCCATGGGGATAGAGCCAGTCATAAAATGTTGGGCAGCTAAGCTAAGCTTTCTGTGACAGAGTGACCTGCTGCAGAATGCCTCTTGGGCTCTTCCAAAGCACCTCCTGCTGTGGGGAGGCAGAGGAATGCTGGGATCAGTGCTTTCGGTTGGGAAAGAAATTCTGTTTTGTTTTGATTTCCAAAGAAAGAGTAGGGTTTGGTTCCTGTGTGGCCACAGGAAAAGTTTGCCAATCTCAGACATGTAAGAAAGGTCTGTGTCTGTGACCAAGCCAAGGGTTTATGGCTAAGACTCTTGCCCAGGATGAGCTCAGGGGCCCAGGCTTTGCTAGTCAGGCAGCTGGTAGAGAACCACTCAAAGGTCCCTGTCGTCCTTGTCCCCCCCCCCCCCCCCCCCACAAACTTTGGATTGTAACCCTGAGTCAAGAAGCGTGGGTACTAAAGAACACATCAGCAGATGCCACTTTAAGGAGCTCTGTCCTCTATAATGCCAAACTAGGAGGAGAATGCAGTCAGTGTGTCTCATTGGCCCAGACCTGGATAGCTCAGGGAAGCCCAATCTTGTCTGATCTCAGAAGCTAAGCAGTTTCAACCCTGGTTAGTACTTGGATGGGAGACCACCAAGGAATACCAAGGTTGTGATGTGAAGTCAGGCAATCACAAACCACCTCTGAACATCTCTTGCCTTGAAAGCCCTACTAGGTTGCCATAAGTCAGCTGTGACTTGATTGGGAGGAAGGGAGTCTCATTGTGTGGCTTAAGCCATTAAGTAGCAACTTCGATGAACCAGCTTTCCAAAAGAGCAGTAAGATAGACTTCAAGATTCATTTATGGAGAATTGCATAATGCTGATCTTTTCCCATTCTGCTTTTACTCAAGACTTACAGAAACAATTGACGATGCTGCCAGCATTTTTACCCGGTTTGGAAATATGCTTTCACCCAAATCAACGTTTGGCTATGTTTCAGACATCATTTCCCAGCAAGCTTTCCCCCCTCCAGGATGTAAACTGAGCTCTTGCACATGAACCTCAAAACCTTTCACTTAACAGCTAAGACCTGCAAAGAATTTAAAGTGTTTCTCTGGTTTCAGTTTGTATATTTTTGGTCTAAGTTCTGGGCATGAATACACTACAGAACCCCCAAAGAGCTGTCTTTAAGACAGGAAGTGTGGACTTCCTAATTATTAGTCCAGATAGCACATTATCAGAATATTCCTGAGACCTTTAGAACATGAAAGCTGTATATTTCCAAAGCTGCATAATCAAGTACAGGAAAACCACCAGCAGCAGCAGAGTTGGAGTATCTCACTAGATTCTGGGAGATCTGGTTTTGAATCCCTGCTCTGCCATGGAAGCTTGCTGGGGACCTTGGGTCAGTCATACATTCTCAGCGTCCCCTGTACTGTCTCAGAGTCTTATTGTGAGTGTAAAATAGAGGGGGAGAAAGATCTAAGCTGCTTTGAGTTCTCATTTGGGGTAAAACTCCATAACACAAATGTAGGCCCTATATATACTTTCTGTAAGACTTCCCACCTAGTCTCTGCTTTCTTGATTTTTTACCTTATGGAGATGCCAAAAACTGTAACTGTTAATTGTTTTCACTTAGACAAGTAAATTGATACAGGACATTCTTTTAAATGCTATTCCTGATTCTCTCCAACCCCAACAGAACTTCTCATGCAAACTAGACCCATTTATTGTTAATGCTGTAGAAATATGTCAGACTGAAGCTGGAACTTTCTCCACCCTCACCTGTCTCTTCATAGTTAAACAGTTCAATGAATGCATCGTTTGCTGGCTCCTAAGGCTCCAGAGCTTTCCTGTGTTGGGTTCTGTGGGCCACCAGCTTAGAGAGACTGAACAGTTCCCTGAAGGCTTCTGCACAGTTGCCTGGGAACAGTGATTAATGTTCGTACTTGGACATAAACTACTGTTGAGGATCTGTTGAAAACAAGACAATATGGGATGGTACAGCCAACATTATAAACTGGGAGGGAGTCTGATGAAAGGTGAGCCCCCTCCCCAATTGGGAATTCTGTGAGAGAGTTCATAAATCCCAAGCCAATTCTAAATGGAGCTGATGAGAATTTACACCATACCATCTAATTTTTTTTGACAGATGACGTGTACTTGGCATTGCAATACTGAATAGCGCCACACTTTGGTGGGAAGGGCTGTCAAGTCACAGCCAACTTGTGGCGACCGATAGGATTTTCAAGGCAAGATATAGAATAGAGGTGGTTTGCCACTGGACGGAGCTCTTCCGCCAGGCTTTCAATTAGGAGCTGCCCCGAGGGAAGAACCATGTTCCCTGAAGTCATCAAAACAGCCTGTGCCAGCCGCACAGTGTTAGATCTGGGTCGACCACTAGGATGGTATAATGAAGGTCGACCGACATCTTAAATTTAATTTTAAATTGTTAATCTTTTAATTACTTACTAGGATCACCATCTGTTAGCACCTTTTAATGTTGAAATTGTTTATATAGTTTTGGAATTATTTTAATTACTTATTGTTGTTTTATTCTTTCTGTAAGCTGCCCTGAGCCAGCCTTGGCGGCGGGGTATAAATATAACAATAAATAAAAATAAATAAATTGGCTATCTCTGCATAGCAACCTTGGACTTCCTTGGTGGTCTTCCATTCAAAGTGCTAACCAGGGTTGAAACTGCTTAGCTTCTGACAAGATTGGACTAGCGTGGGCCGTCCAAGTCAGGACACCACACACTTTACTTTTTTGTAGAGGTTAAGACGCTGAGCTGCAGACTGGAAGGTCTGTCGCTCAGCAGTTCAAGACCCTAGTGCCAGAGGTCATTTCGGGGGGGATCGCAGTTCCCCTGGGTGAGGTACGGGGGGCAGGGCACATGACAAAGCCCCGCCCCCTGCTTCCGGCCACCCCGCTTCCGGCCCTCATTCAGCCAGGAGGAGGCAGGAGAAGAGGGAGGGTAAGTTGCTTCCTCCCTGCCTCT